GGAAGGAAGGAAGGAAGGAAGGAAGGAAGGAAGGAAGGAAGGAAGGAAGGGAGGCATTTTGTTCATTTCTGATAGAGCAACCCAGGAATAGCAGTCTACTTTCATAGTAGACATACCCACTACGAAGTCCAACTTCAGGATTTTCCCCACATTAGTGGTAGCACCCACTCTCAGAATAAGGTAATAACAAAGCTTTCAAGTTTTGTTTTAGTACTATTTGTGACAGATCGCATCCAGGAAGTCAGAGAAAGGGGAAGACCATTGAATAAAGTCTGGGGATTCTCGCTTTCTCCTTGAAGACTTTTCCATCAGAGTCAAGTAACTGAAGTGGAGACTGTTGTTGTTGTTGTTGTTGTTGATAATAATAATAATAATAATAATAATAATGGCATTTGCAGATGAGAAAAGGGGGGTTGTCCAACTGGATAGGCATTACAGATCTGCTGAGGTATTAAGCTATTTATTACCCCTCTCTGAGGAACGGGAAAGAAATCCATCCCATCGTCATGGATCTGCCATGGGAAGGCAGCAACCCTACCCCATGGCTGGCTTCCCAGTGCCCAACATCCTAAGATATCCTGCCTAGAACATGGAGACTTAACTACTGTGGCATATTCCTACTAATACAGGCATCTTCCATGAAGTGCGCATATTCCTTCCAAAAACCAGCTGCAACGTTGAGCCCACGCAGCTCAGATGGCAGCAGACCCTCCAAAGGTTAATTATGCAACCCATCACCAAGACCTTCATTTCAACATTTCTTACACTGAATGGGCCATCCTATATTTGAGTGGTAAGAGACCAAGCAGTGAAGCTGGAGAAATCCATGTCTACTTTCTCTATTATGTGCTTACTTTCATAAGCCTCAATGGCATCTCCCTCCTCCCCCAGCCTACATATTAAAAGCCCAAATGCCTACCTCTTTAATTTCTGCAAAGTTATTGTATAAGCCGATTGTAATTAAAATCAACACCATCAGGCTCTTGATTACATGCTAAACCATCTCTTGTTGCCTGCAAAGTTGGATTTCAAAGCAGAAGGTTGCTTTGCAACCAGATAATTCTACTTTTTTCAACGTAACCCCTCCTAAATTTCCTGGGGTTCAGATACTGAATGGAAGTAAGAACAAAAAACCTGAAAGTCAATTTTGCCCACACTTTCCCCTTAACTTCTCCCCATCCCATGGAATTAAGGCAGTCTATTGAGCAAAGACAAAGCAAAAACAGAACGCTAGCAAGAAAAACCTAAAACAAAATTAAGACATTAATCCTTGCTTAAAGAGAGGGGCCAAGAATGTATCTCTAATTTTACGAAGAAAATATCCCACTGATGAACAAGGCCTGCCCTAAATATTGTACCCACACAGCTTTGGGGAAAAACATTTGCGCGGGATCCCCAAGCAAAGGTTTCTGCCCCAGGTACCAGATCTTTGAGGTGTGGGGGAAAAGTGAAGCTTCTTAGACATCAGTCTGTTAGAGGTGTCAACCAATCCAGACACAGCTACTTCCACATTTACTCAGAAGTAAACCTCATCCCATATATTTGAAAACAAAGGAGAGGGAGAATCTGACTTCTGAAGGTACTAGGGCAGTGTTTCTCAACCTTGGCAGCTTGAAGATGGGTGGACTTTAACTCCTGGAATTCCCCAGCCAGCATGCTGGCTGGGGAATTCTGGAAGTTGAAGCCCACCCATCTTCAAGTTGCCAAAGTTGAGAAACACTGCCCTAAGGGCTGAATTTTTGCACTTGGAAGGGCCAAATATATTGGAGGGTGGAAGGAGAGCTGTTCAACTCCTTGTGTCTTTTGGAAGTCATCATCCATGGGGGAATTATTCTACCAAGGGTGGTGGGTCCCTTGGAAAGAGGTCCTCTAAGGAGAGCCACCCCACATTCATGGTTGTCCTCACACCTCTTGATGATCCCTCTGGCTTTGTTATTTCTCCTCCCTGAGGCCTCTTTCCTCATCTCCCAGGCCCACTTTTTCATGAGAAGAAGGAAGAGAGGATTCTGCTGCATTGAATCAGTTGTGCCTGGGATGGAGTTCCCTTCAGACAGGAGGACCCATTCAAGTCCATTTCCCTGCTCCCTGGGGGATTCCCTCCCTCTCACAGCCCAACCCACCTCACAGGGTTGTTGGGGAAGAAAAGGAGGGCTCCCCCCACCCTCCCTGGGCCACCCTGAGCAATCAGAGAGAGAGAGGGAGAGAGGGAGCTATGAGTGCAATAAATCAAGCCCATCTGTAGGAGGAGAGCCTGCTAGTCTAGGGTGGCCAAGCCTCAGGAATCTGGTCGCCCCTTTTCCGACTAACCGATGTTATTAAAAGGTGGAAGCTTTCCGGGCCTTTTAATCACAGCTGTTGGTCGGAAAGGGGGCGACCGGATTCCCGATCCTTCGCCTGGATCCCAGGGCCCCAGACGGACAGGCGCAAACTCAGGCGGGGAGAAAGTTGCCGGGGCCCGAGCCCGGGAGTGCCGGGCCCGTCCCCCGCCCGGCGGGCTCCCTCGGGATGAACGCCGCGCGGGGTACCTGAAGTCGCTGTACGGATGGATGATCCAGAAGCCGGCGGACTTCACCCTTTCCTGCTCCCGCTCGACCGCCTTCTGGCTGCCGAACATCCGCAGGGAGAATTTGTTGACGCCGGGCTGCAGCAGGGCGCCGAACTGCCGCTGC